CTGCCTCACCTCGACTTTGCACTTGCTGTTGCCTCCGCTGGCAAAGTCCTTCCATCTGACACCCAAGTGTGTCCCTCCTTCTCCTCCTTTGGGGGTTGGCTCCAATGTCACCTGCTCAGTGAGGCCTTCCTTGACGACCCTATTTAAACATCTAACGCCCGTCACTGCTGTCTTTCTCCTCATCACTTACCACCACCTTACACACTAAACATCGTGTTGGTTGGTGTTCTGACTCACCTTACTAGAATTCAAGCTCTGCAAGGGCAAGAATTTGCCTCCTTCCCAGCACCTCCAGCGGCTCCCAGCACAGCAGGCTCGGCTGCTGCTTGTTAAAGGAATGAGGGTGTGGAAGGGCCCTCCCTCTGCACGTGCACAATAGAGGTGAAGAACACAGACCTCAGGACAGACTGCCTGGTCTGTCTCTTTCCCCACCAATTACAACTGGGCACCTTGGGGCAAGTTACATAAGCTTCCGAAACCTCAACGCCTTCATTTGTAGAGAGGGGGTAATCATAGTATCCACACCACATGAGTGGTAAGAATTAAATAAAATGATGCATTTGGAAAGCTTAGCACAGGGCTTGGCACCTCATTAGCACTCAAAACACATTACCACGGTTATTTTTTATGGAAAAAAACCTTGAGATATATTCTTTAAGAAGTGTTTTAATTGCATACAAATATAGAAACATCTGGGGCAACACATTAAAGTTAGCATTTAGAATAAGTATGAGGTGATCATTCCTGGTTTTTAATAATGAATTTATGTAAGCATGTGAATACATTTCTCGTAATTTTGCTTGTTCTCTGTCTCTCAAACTCTTGCCTAGAAAAGGCTAAAATGATATAAAATAAATGGAAACTATGTCAATTTCCTTTAACACTAAATACACAGAAATCAGTTTACATACAGAAAAGCAACTAAGAAGGAAACCACTTATTGTGAAAGAAGAGAAACCTACAGGACAGGCAAGTCATTACAGGTGGGATGTACTCCTGTTTGAGAGGAATTTATCCTATTAACCCACAAGAGACTGAATTAAAACAAAGGTATATTCTTTTGAAATGTTATTTTTCTTTCTCTAGAACAAAACTAAAGACCAGCTCTTTCCTGAGGCTTTTCTTTAGACTCTGGCATAATAAGGTGGGTCCCTGAACATTCATTCTTCTTTTCCCCAGAGTCCTAGAGGACACAGGGGCCTCTTCCACACCCCACCCAGCCCTGTGGCGCTCTGTGGTTGCTGCATCCTCTGTGCTTGCTGCATCCGCATGCATCAGCCCTCCCGGGCAGGGTAAAGGACCCACAGGGAAGGGAGTGCATTCCGTACAATTTCCCTCGTCCTGCCTGGCTCAGGCTGGTCCCTGGGAGGGGAGCTGCAGGTCTATCAGAAGGAGCACACACATTAATCATCTACAACCTGGTATCACCCCTGAAAGTGCTGGCAGACGTGTCTCTGAAAAACGCCTGAATCGATCATGAAGTGCCTACTAAGTGGCATTAATGTGCAATAACCGTGTAAAATCATTTACATCATGATAAACGGATTTAGATTTTAAGCCAAAGGCCTGAAAAGAGAAACGCCACAGGATCTAAACCATTCAGCTGGGCAGAAGAATTCTAACTGACCGAAACTCGTGGCCATCCTAATGGTGTTTCTTTTTTGTTTTCTTAAAATATATTTTTATTGATTTCAGAGAGGAAGGGAGAGGGAAAGAGAGACAGAAACATCAATGAGAGAGAGAATCATTGATCAAGCTTCCTCCTGCACACCCCACATTGGGGATCGAGCCTGCAACCGGGGCATGTGCCCTGACCAGGAATCAAACTGTGACCTCCTGGTTCATAGGTCAATGCTCAACCACTGAGCCATGCCGGCCGGGCATAACAGAGTTTCTTAGGCTACACCGTGAGGGTTAGGAGTACGGATGTAGAGCCCATGGCCTGAGCTGAATCCCACCTCTGCCACTTTCTAGCTGCCTAACTTGGACAAATTGTTTAACTTCTCTGTGATGGTTTCCTCATCTGTAAAATGGGGGTAAGCCTCACAAAACTGTGGTGAGGATTAAATGAATTTGTAGGTGAGATGATTAAGACAGAGCCTGAAACTTGGTAAGCATTTAAGAAGCGTGAGCTGCTATCATTGGCATTATAATTATTATTAAAAATAGTTTCCCCCACTATCTCATCCTATTTGAGTGGTTAAAACACACACACATACCCCCAAAGAAGCAACGGGCACTTGTGATTTGCTCTGTTATAATCCCTTGTAATCTGCTTTCGTATAAATGCCCTGGTTTTCCCCAATGGAAGAGCTTCATGGTGCTTAATTCCAATTCTTTCTCATACTCACTTTACCGCTTCGAGAAAGTGGCTATTTGAACTCCAGGCCTGGTTTTCGGCTTCGTCCTCTGAAAGGAGTCACTGAAACCCCAGGTCAGCTGGAGCATTCCTGCCGCTTACCTTTCAGTGCAGTAACTTTGTATGAGTACAGAGGATGTCCATCTGGTTTCGATTTTCTAATACACAAACATGTCATTGTACAGCGAATGGCAACATGCTCTCGGTGATCTGAGGGCACATTGTTCCTGCTCCTGGGTTCTGTTCTACTTTTCACTCTGTGGTGATTAAGTTTCCTGTCCCTCCAGCAAACACCGCTCCATGTACTGTGAGCATCCAAACAAGTGAGCTGCTGTTAACTTTTTAAAAACATAACACAGCATAATCAAGTCTTTCACTGAAAACCCATACAGCATCTGGTTACATTAAATTTTTTCCCCCATTTATATACGGGAAACCACCAAGTAAAATATAATTTCGTGTTTAACTCAGGTTGAAAACTCTGAATGTACAACTTAGTTATCATGCTTGTTTATACAGGTTAATAAAAGCTTAATAAAGTTCATCGTCTTTTTATTAAAACCAAACAGACCTATTTTTCTCTCTTTACAGCATTGCCATGATACAGTGTACAGTAAAGGGACTTAAAAAGGATTCACTCTTTGACGGGACCAATCATCTACATAAAAGAATCTCATCTTGTAAAACATGGAGGTGGGCAAAAGTAGGTTAATAATAATAAATAATAATGTGAGAATAAACTCTTTTGCATACTCACAACTGTAAACCTATTTTTGCCCACCCCTGTATATCCCGGGTATTGGCCACACCTCTTAAAAGCATGCGCACTTCAGGTTTTCTGGGATTTGAGCATCGTGTGGTCCAGCAGTAGCCACTACTCGGAAAATTGGGTGAGCTCCACATTGCCCCTAGAAAGATGACTCCAAAAGTTGACAGGGCCGCACGTTCTTAAACCCTCACACGTCACAGATACAAAGGCTGAAGGCCAGGGAGGGTAATGGACTTGCCCAGGCAGTTCTTGGTGCAAGAGTGATCCTGGAACCCAGGGCTCCTAACCACAAGCCAGGCTGCCATGTCATGGCACCTCCAGGCCACCAACCCACAGGCGCTCCTGACATCCAAGCAGGAAGAGGTCTCCCCATCCTCCGGCAAACTCCATGAGCCTTGTCTGGCAGCAACAACAGTAAGAACCAAGGCTTTCATCTCACTGATGTCTGAACTCCCCGTCCATGGCAATATCCAAAATAAGGATCATGCCTAGCCTGTCTGGCTCAGTGGTTGCACAGCGACCTATGAACCAGGAGGTCTCCGTTAGATTCTGGTCAGGGCACATGCCTGGGATGCAGGCTCCATCCCCAGTAGGGGGCGTGCAGGAGGCAGCTGATCAATGATTCTCTCTCATCATTGATGTTTCTATCTCTCTCTCCCTCTTCCTCTCCCTTCCTCTCTGAAATCAATAAAAATATATTTAAAAAAGCAAAAATAAAGAAACAAAAAAACAAAATAAAGATCGGTGCTTCTCCGAATTTTGGTCACTTCTCTCCTCCTTTTCTCCCAAAGGATGAAGGCACTGCTAATTTTTCTTCCTCCACCCATACCTCGTCCTGGGTCTGTGCCTCAGAACCTCAGCACCCTGGTGCCAGGCCTGCCTCTAAGTAAGTCATCCTTAAAACCCTTGTGCACGTTACAGGATTCCACCCAGGCTGCTTCATATCAGGACTGGAAAATAGATGCCAAGGTGTGGAGATGTCCAGAGATGCTCTGGGTTTTGGCTGGTTTGTTAGTTTCTGTAGTGTTCTCACATGTGTGAACACACAATGCTAGAGGCACTTTTTTTTTTTTTTTTTAGACCATTCAATTATAGTCGCTCTTTTTATAAGGAAACCTCTAAATCTCTCTGACATGCCTTTCATTTGCTCTAGGTTCTACCTGTTAAAATAGGGGTGTTCCCTGCAGGGCATTTTCCATGGCTTTCTGTCTCCGTCCCTACGACAGAGGCAACTCCTGGTCTGATTTGTAAGAGTAGCCTTCCATTCAGAGAAATCTGTGCATCTGCCAAATTTAGTAAGACACTTCACAGCTAGCTACTCTTGAAGCTCTCAAATTTCATAAACCGAATATGATTTTAAAACTACTACTTCTAAAATACAAACCAACAGAAATAAAAGTTCCTATTAGAAAAGCTTAACTTTTTAGTTGCTCTTATGTCCCTGAAAATTTCTTAAACATCTTACAGTAAAAATCTTTTTAAAGGCTAATCTTTTCACATGTGGTGAGGGTACATTGTAAGTTTAGCATATAACACTTAAGTGTTATTAAGCACGTAACCATTTTTAAAAATTTTTTGTAATGATTCATCTATAACAGGTAGCTGGCTATATATCTCTACACGAATGCTTCTGAATGGCTTGTGAGTGAGTTTCGTACACATAGATCTCTCCCCGCTGAGCCTGTGCATGGCTATGTCCCCGGCTTCTCCTACCTTCCCTGGTACGACGCTAGTCCACAAAGGTAAAGGCCTCATGACAGAACGCATCTGTTCTAAAACCAAAACCTGCCCTTCCGCTTTCCGACACGCCTAACTTTCCATGGGAATAATTCAAACACTGCTAGAAGGCACGCTGCAGTACTGTATGCTCACCAGAACCGGCCGCGCGCCTGATCCTCTGGTAAGATAAGGTCCGATCAGCACTGAGCGTTCTGCTGTTGCTGGTGCACCTCAAGCAGGAAGCAGAAGGGCCCACTTTGGCTTTCGGACCAGGTGCTATCCGCAAACTGGAGGCTTCGGGCTTGGGTGTACTCCTCCCTGCGGGGGTGGCAGTTTTTGAAGCAGAACCCTGCGAAGAAAATAATTAAAATGGGAGTTCAGATCACACCGTCCCCATGCTACCCCCTGTGGTGTTAGCTACGTAAATGAAACAATTCGTTTCTATGGCGCTGTCTTTTTAAAAAAAAAATTTTAATTTATTGAGAGGATATTGGTTAATAAAATTGAGTTTTTAGGCTGCAGATTTCAGACTCAAGACGACAACATCAACTCTTCTCTCCATTTCCATCCTCCCAACCTTCTCTACATGTTTCAGACTTGTCAGCCCCTACCATCATGTGGCATAAGCCAGTTCCTTAAAATCAACATTATATATCTTTCTATAGATACATATACACACACATATACATGCATCTTTATGTATTCATACACACATATGTCTAGCTATACACATATACATATTGCTATAGACTGAATGTTTGCAGTCACCCCCCCCCAAAAAAATCATAAATTGAATTCATAAATCTGCAATGTGAGAGTATTTGGACGTGGGGCCTTTGAAAGTTGATTAAGTCTTGAAGGGGGAACCCTTAAGAATGGGATTCATGCCCAAAAGAGACCCCTAAGTGCTCTCTTGCCACCTCCTGCCACATGAGGCTACAGGAGAGGAAGCGGGCTCTCTCTAGACACTGAATCTGCCGGTGCCTTCATCTACGCCATCCCAGCCTCCAGAATGGTGAGAAATAAATGTTGGTCATCCATCTTTTTAAAAAGAACAATTTGGTTAAACAGAGATGCCAGATGAATATTTAATTTTCATTTTTCCCATGAAGAAATTAAAGCTCTTCATGGTCTACTCTTAAAATCATCATTATCTGCCTCCTGTCCCCATCAGCGAAACTGTTCCCAAGGTGACCAATGACCTTATAGGCCTTCTCTGTGGCATTTGATGATGATGAGTCCAACTTTCCTAAATTTCTCGACACGGTTCTTCCTGGTTTTCTTTCCACCTGTCTGGTTATTCCTTCTCTGGATTCTGTTCTTCTAAGCCAGGGGTCCTCAAACTACGGCCTGCGGGCCACATGCAAATACAAATATTGTATTTGTTCCTGTTTTGTTCTTTTACTTCAAAATAAGATGTGTGCAGTGTGCATAGGAATTTGTTCATAGTTTTTTTTTAAACTATAGTCCGGCCCTCTAATGGTCTGAGGGACAGTGAACTGGCCCCCCCTGTTTAAAAAGTTTGAGGACCTCTGTTCTAAGCCTTTCAAGGCTAGCCAACATGAGGGTCCTAAGTTGGTCCTGTTCTTTTCTCTCACCATGTACTCTCCCTAGATGATTGTGTGCACTGTTTCAACCTCCTATACATCGTCATGTCCAAAGTCCACATGCCCAAGCGAGCAGTCTCTCTGGAATTTCCCAGAGAGCTAGCTTCTATCTGCACCTGCCCACTTGGCATCCTCCAGGCACCGCTACCCAACAATGTGGACAATGATCATGTGGCTGTGGTTTACTGATCCACATGAGTCCTTACAGGATGAAAACTACCATTTTAAGTTCAAAATGCATGCCTCAACCCGTTTAATCCTCATAACCCTACAAAGGTGGATGCGTTCATCACATTCTATTTTACAAAAGAAGAACGGAAAGCAGTTTCTAAAAGTAAACTCACTTCACCCATCCATCTCAGAACATCCCTCTTCCCATAGGCACCACAACATTCCCAGACACCCAACTTAAACAATAAAAGCTTCTTGTGGGTGCTTCTTTCTTAAACCCCGCTCCATGGCATCCTCTTCCTTCTCCAATGACCTTGTAGGCCTTCTGCATGGCACCCACCTCGGGGCAGGCCTGCATCATTCCTTGGCAGGATTACTGAAAACACATCCTCAGGATCTTTCTGGTCTCACCGGCCCCCAATTCATCTTGCACTCCACCGCAAAGGCAGTCTCTCTAGAGTCCAAATTAGGTTCAGAGCGGCTTCCCTCTGTCTTCCAGGTACAGTCAGCCTCTGAACAAGGCAGGCCAAGCCCTTTCAGACGTGTTGGCCCCTGCCGTCTTCTCCAGCTTACTGCTTATAGCTCTGCACTCCTGGCTCCCGTCACACTCACTGCCTGGAGTCCCCTGCATGGGGATACCCTGTTTCTTCATCTTTGTGCATGCTATTCCCTACACCCAGAGCGCCCTTCCAACGCATGCTTGCCCTTTAAGTTCCAGCTGGCGACTAACACAGTATCCCCCCCAAGAAGCCTTCCATGACTACTCTCCCCATCACCACCACCCCATTCTGACCCCTGCGGCACAGCAGCCCATATATACGTAATACCCTCAGTACTTAATACCCTTTTGGTTTATCTTCTAAAATTACCCACTGCAGCCCTAGCTGGTTTGGGTATTACCAGTGGACAGAGCATCAGCCTGTGGACCCAAGGGTCCCAGGTTTGATTCTGGTCAAGGACACGCACCTCGGTTGCAGGCTCCTCCCCGGCCTGGGCCCTGGTCGGGGTGCGTGCAGGAGGCAACCAATGGATGTGCTTCTCTCACACAGATATTTCTCTCTCTTCCACTCACTCTAAAAACCAATGGAAAAATATCCCCGGGTGAGGATTAAAATAAATAATAAATAAATAAGTAAAAATTACCCACTGCACTAAACACTATGCGATTGGCCAGGGGCTGTGTCTCTCTTTTCTACATCCCAACAGTCACCATCCCATGTAGCATGCAGCAGGTACCCCCCAAATGTTCCCGTTCTACATACAGGAGATGAGCGCCTAGGCCTTCCTCCAAGAGCAAATTCCCACAACATAAGCTGTCACCTGTATCCTCCCTTTCCATCAGGAAAAACGGAGCCTTGTGGAGACTAAGTAACTGCATGAGGTCCCTCTGCCAGTGAATGAGGGAGCTACAACTTGAAACCATGTCTAACTCCGGAATCCTTGAACTGCATGTGAATTCTTTTTTATTGTTGTTTAAAATGGAACTATAAAGTCCTCTCCCCTCTCCGCAAATATCTGAGAGTTGCTATAGAAAAAACACAGTTTTTCACTATAAGAAGAAAATGGGTTTATTTAATGTACCAGAAATCAAGTATGTTCGGGCTGCAAGAGACCTCAGTCATCACCTTGCGGGGGGTGGGGGGGGGGCCCTCAAAAGATGACTGGCCCCAAGTCACATGAGCGATCAGAGGCAGGGTCCAGAGTCCTCCTGCTCACCGGAGAGGACCCCACTCCCCAGAGCTGCTTCCTCACCAAGAGACCAGGTACTATTTCTATGTTGATACTGTGCCAGCATCCCCAGCCCTTCCTAAACTGTGGTCCAGTACATTTTAAAGTTCATAAAAAAGCCTTTTTTCCCGATAGATAGAAAACAATCAGATGTGTCACTTCAAATAACGAATTACACTAAAACAGTAAAGTAGCCGGTTCTTCTAGCTTACTATTATACCCAAAGGAACATTAATACTCAATACAAAATACTAAGCTTCAGGAATTTCTTTTCCCAAACGTGCAGGTTTCCAATTAACCCTCACAAATGCACCGGCAAGAGAAAGGATGACTGGCTAGTGTATTAACAACTGAAAGCAAATGTACACCTAGCTCTGCAATGTGATTGACAATTAGTGGGTAACCAGCTGCTAATACAGCCCGAGTCTCCCCCACCACTCCCTGAAGCAGGCAAAAATCTTACTTACCAAAAACAGAGACCCATACTCAAAGGTCTCATTCAAAATGTCCTTCTTTAGGTCTTGTTTTTCTAGAAGGTCCCCATTTTCCCGTTCGCCCTTCTCTTCAGGGCTAATCCTCTGGATGTTGGACACGTACGTCATTTCCAAGCACTCCGGGCTTTCCATGGTCACCGAGAACAGGCCCCTGCACTTCTGGAGAAACGAAGCCACGGACCCAGGCTCGCAACCCGAATTAGAAGAACTGGCTTTGTCAACATCTTCCCGATTCGATTTCAGGGCAGGTGTTGTTCTTGAAACCTTGTGGGAAGCATTTTTAGAATGAGTTGCAACACGCTCAGCCTGGCTCGTGATGAGTTTATTCAACTGCTGCTTCTGCGTCTTGTTAATTGGGGTTTCTGTTTTTGTGTCTGCGTTCAAGTCGGATCTCCGTGGTTTGCTCAGCACCGTCACCTGTCTCGAGGAAGACACCGACGAGGGGGACGAGGAGGCACTGGCCAGCTGAGGTCTGGGTGTGACCTTTGGCAAAGCAGGGTCGTGGGGCTGCAATGCAGGCCTCGACATCACTTTTGCTTTGACATTCTTGAAGTTCGGTCTTGGGTAACTTATGATTTTGTTCTTTCTGACTTTGCTGCCTATCGGGGTATTTGCTTTGGTCGTTGGCTTTCCTAGGTTCGGTTTAGAAAGCTCTCGGTGACCCTTCTCCAGGTTGCTACATTTCTCCGTCGCCTCGACGGGGGAAACAAAAAAGGTTGCATTCAGGGGGTTGGGGATTGACGTGGACATGCAAATGGTGTCATTTGCACTAATGACCATATCGTTTTCATCCCAAGTCAGTTCAAGTGAATGTCCAGGGGGGCTACCTGGGACCAGTTCTATGGTATGATTTTGGATTTCCAGGTCCTCTTCATGGGGGGCAATCTGTGTGTGTTCGGCCCCGGTGACTTTGGGTTCCGGGCACAGCACTGGGGCTGTGCTGTTATCAAAAGCTGGCACCAGGCAAGGGCATTTGTCATCGATAAGACAACCAGACACTGTTTCTCCTAGATTTTGGCCCATTTCCTTTGGCCCATATGAGCTCGCTGAATGTAGTTCATCGTTAGATAAACAAAAGAACTCCTTTACTGCAGACCCGCTGGGAACATCCATGCCATCAGAAACTGGTGTCAGGGCGTGTGCCTCTTTCTCTCCAACTAGTCTTTGCTGTGGCCCATCTGTGTACTCACTGGTGACATTTCCTGAAGAATACGGACAGGCATTTCCAGCATCTGGAACAAAAGCCTCAGTTTGCATCAGCACCTCAGAAAACGCTGTGTACATTGTGCCCTGGGCCTCTGAGGCTGTGGCCGCAGGGCTTTTAAAGACGCCTCTATCATAACTCGTCCCTGTCACGTGTGTCTTATCAGAATGGGAAGATGGGCAAACGGAACAGGATAGAGATGTATTTCCACTTCTCATGCCAGTTGGTTGCAGGCTCCCAGAGGCGTGCAGAGACTGGCTCTTTCCCACGGCGTGGTGTTCTGCAAAGGCGCGGGTAGCGTTATCCACTCTCATGTCAAAGGTCTGGTTTAGCTGCAAGGCATCTGGGCAGTCTGCACAGCTCCAGTCGCCCTCTTGGGGTTCCCACGCAAAAGGCGGAGATGTCTCCTCACTCTGGCCCTGAGGGGACCGTAGGGAATGACAGCTGCTATGCGGGTACCTGGGCTTCCCTGTGACTACAGCGTGTGCGGGACCAGAGAAATCAGTTGGAGCCTTTTGGTGATCAAGTTCTTCGACACACTGGGCGTTTAAGGCCACGTTTTCACCACCGTCCGCAGCAGCGTTGGCCTCATAATCCACCACCATGTCGTCTGGGTTGGCAGCATGCCAACAGCCTGCTGAGCAGCTCGGCGAAGGTGGTGGTTTGGGGTGGTATGCATAAGTGTTTCCATTTTTGTCGCTGACAAATAAGGGCTGCAGGTCGTCCTCTGGCTTGTCTCCTGAACTAAATTCATTCATCCTGAAGATGAACTCAAAACCTCGGCCACTTTAGTTCTTTTTTAAATCCTTTCCAATGAGAGGGAAGGAAAAACTGTCCATCTTCGATGTTCTTCTCAGCACAGTTGACAGCTTCTTAGTCTGAGATGTTCTGAAGCTGTTCCCTGGAAGAAATAAGATATTTAACTCACGGACATGTTAGAAAAATGAACAAGTCACCACTTGACTCATTTCAGTCACTTTGTTTTTTTTTACGTTTAGGACCTACAATTACGGATGCGGGTAATTCAGGTATCATTAGCTAAAGTATCACCCCTTTTCAAAATGCTTTCATATCTTGAGGCGAGTGCCTCACTCTCCTACCCTAGTCCCAGCCCTGCCCACATAGGGCACAAGCTCCCCGCTGCCCCCCAGGAGCAGGCCCTGTTCCCACAGGGGAAGGGGGGTTGGCCTGGAGGTGCTGTTCTGCACTACAGTGACAAAGTGGGTCAGAAAGTCTCTGTCCCTCAAACTAGCTCTCATCTAAAATTCACCTATCATTATAGATGAAGTCCTGTCATCACAATTCATCTATAATTTCATCTATGACAACCTGCCCACCTTACTCTTTTTCTTATTTCTCAAATGGTTCATAATCAGAGAGAGAAGAAGGTAGGAATGATATTCAAAAGAGTGAACGAGCAATCCTGACCGTGTCCTGGCCGCAGCCCTGGAGCAGGGCCCGGGAGGCCAGCCCCTGGGGAGCCAGGCATGTCCCCTTCGGTTCCTGGATGCTGAAGAGGCCCAAGGACTCACCCAGAAAAGGCTGCGGTGGCTGATGAACCCGAAGAAGCACACAGGGCTTCGGGCAACAGCCATTCACCTACCACTGCAGGAGACCATCTCTACTTTAACAATCAGCCACTCGGAATAGCAGTCTTGAAAAGGGGATATTATTAATTGAGCCCTCTCCAAACTGTAAATATGTTACCTAGGCAATGAGCCATGAGACATAAACAAGGAGTCAAGTTTATGGGAGCAAACCACACGTGGGGTAACTAGGGCTTCTGTCCTGGGGGCAAGGTGGATGGCACTTCGGTTCAGGGTACGAGCCAAATGTTTTCCTCACATTGGTGGTTTGCAGCCTAAATCCTGCAATCCAGCTCACTTTTCCAGCTGGGATGTTGGTGTTAAAATAGCACAGACTGGGCAAGAGACATTAGGCCTAAAAGCATTCATTCTTTTAACCTGAGTGGAACACTGCTTTGTCCACAGGGTAAGTGTTTCCACAGGAGGAGGACTGCCCAGGTAACTTCAAGGAAACCTGGCCTGGGCTGTACTCCTGAAACACAGCCATTTGGGCCGTGGCAGTGGACAGGCTTTGAGCAGGCAGCCTCCAGGTGCAGGCCACATGGCTAGACCTTGAACGGCGCTGGCAGTTGCACCCAGGCACCAGCAAGGCCGCAGAGAAGGGCAGCAGGCGCCAGTGAGCACAGCTGCAGCCTCAGGGAACAGAGTGGACTCAGGCCCTTTGCTCAGTGGTGAGCAACATAATATTTACTGCTTTAAAGTGGCCACGCAGAAGGCTTCTGTGTGTCTTGTAGAAAACTAGAGTATTTCCAGCTCTAAACTGTTAATAATAGGTCCGGTGGGCTATGCTGCATGGGATACCCACAATTCCATCACGCATTAGAAGACAAGGAGGAAATGATGGGTGGGGTAGGCTGGAACCCATGTGGTTTTTCCAGTCTCAAGAGTCAACCCCCCTCACACACCACACACATGCACACTCTCTCCCTCTATGGTTTCCAATTGGGGTTTGATTGGATAATTAAATATTAAGGATAAATCTTCCCCAGGAGGCAGGTTTCTTAGACTTAAGTAATTGCAGAGTGAGAGGCAGGAGCAGCAGCTATAGGTGCACACCCCTGAAAATGCGAGAGAGAGAGAGAGAGAGAGAGAGAGAGAGAGAGAGAGAGCGCCAAAGGTGTGTCCTAGGCAGGGGCCCACCTGGTGCAGCAGGACGGTCTTCAGAAACACTAAACACTGTTCCAAGAACTGGGTTCTAAGAATGTAATTTTCCCTGCATTAGTATTTCAGGATTAAGGGACTGGCTTGTTTTCAAACTGCGGTGGTTGCAGGGAGGGGGGAAGAGGCAGTTCTGTGATCATCTGTGGCCTCTGCACACACTGGGTGCTGAAGTAGCACAGCTGAACTAAGAATTGGCAGTAGCTCCAGCCTTCTCCTCCCTCCCCTTTATCCAGGGCCGGGGGGAGAGGAGGTATGTTCTAAGACCCCCAGGGATGCTGAAACCATGAATAGTACCAAATCCTGTACATATTATGCATTTTCCTATACATACATACATAACCATTTAGGCACAGTAAGAGGTTAGTGACAATAACTAATAAAACAGAACGATTATAACAAGACACTGTAATAAGAGTTATGTGAATGTGGTGTCTCTCCGATGACTGAAACGTCTACAGCGCGGAGACACTGGACAAAGGCATGACTCAGTCTCGGGTGGGCAGAGAAGGATGGCGCAATATTTCATCATGCTACTCAGAATGCCATAAAATTTTAAAGTCGTGAATTGTGTTTTTTTCTGGAATTTTCTAATATAATATTTTCAGACTGTGGTTAAGCACAGGTAACAGACCACGGAAACCAAAACTTCAAATGAAGAGGGACTACCCTACAGCTGCATTCGTAGAAAATGAGTGCATTCTTCAAGTCCCTGTATGGACTGGCAGTCTGGAATCCAGGACACGGTTCCATTATTGAAAAAACAAAACAAAACAACACATAAACAATTGTTAGGTTCCCAGACAGCCAACCGATGACATATGAACCCGTAATAGAGCCCAACTGTCGCCCAATGATACTGCTATTTCCCCCAGAATTATGCCAAATACAGCCAGCGTCACACACGGGGCCCTAGATGTCAGAAACACATGTCCTCCGCCATAGGCACAGCCTCTACATAAGTAAATCTCTCTCTTCTCTCTAATGGGCAGAGTGCAGACAGTAATTACTCTTCACCCGACCACGCAAAGAGAGTGATGTCTTGCTCTATGTTTCCCAGATGGCGAGAGTGTCTGCATCCTCGCTCCGCCGGCCCACACCTGCAGCCCAGTTGTGCGCGCAGTGGCAAGAGAAATCACATTCCCTCCAGATTTCTGCTCCCTACTTGCAGAGACAGCAGAAGTTAAAACAGTCCTTCATTTCAAGAATGAGCCGCAGTGGAAAAAATTATTTGAGGTGAAGATCTTGGTATAAATACAAAAGTATCTTTACCTGGGGAGAAGCCTACATAGGTAGCAACGAACAGTTCAAATGCTCAGCAGTACTGGAAACAATGGAAAAGAGGTTTGCCTCTTATTATTAATCTCATGTGAGTCTGGAATCTTAAACTCTACAGAGGTAAAGACGCTGGGGCATAGCATGAGCACGTGCTATCAACCCCTCAGGATAGGGTCAGTTTTGCTGCAATAATGAACAGCCCCAAGCCCTGGTTAGGGTGGCTTAATTGGTTAGAGCACCTTCTAGGGCACCGAAGGGCCATGGGTTCCATTCCTGGTCAGGACACATATCTAGGTCGGGGCATGTATGGGAGGCAACCAATCGATGTTTCTCTCTCACACCAATGTTTCCCTCTCTCCCTCTCCCTTACTCTCTCTCTCTGGATCAGTGAAAAGTATATCATCAGTGAGAATTAAAAAATAAAATAAACACCTCCATGGGTGTTGGCAGGGAACTCGGCTCATATTCATGGGCAACCAGGGACCTAGGTTGACTGAGGCTTCATCGCAACAAAAATGTCCAGTCAGCAGACGTTAGGACAGGACCACAGCAAAGCTTCTACTCCAGCGGTTCTCAACCTGTGGGTCGCAAACAATGAAAATACATCCTGCATATCAGATATTTACATTACGATTCATAACAGTAGCAAAATTACAGTTATGAAGTAGCAGGGAAAATAATTTTATGGTTGGGGGGCACCACAGCATGAGGAACTGTGTTAAGGGGTCGCGGCATTAGGAAGGCTGAGAGCCACTACTCGCTCTTAGCATTCCTGCCTAAAAGCGACACACGTCTTCTGCTCACATTCCACAAGGCAGGCTACCGTTTACCCAAAAGTAAGAGAACCTGAAATCTCTGTGCAAAGCATGAAGGTAGTCAGGGGAGAGTTTATTTTGCATTAATTATACCAACATTCAGTATAGAGTGCATTGCATCAAATTATGCACCTTCACTGACATTGGCATGCCTGACACTACAGCTCCTCTGTCCAAATTATACCATTTCAGTCGATATCATTTATCAGCGAGTCCCAGCTTTCAGGAAAGAAAAAAGGGAAAAAAGGTGAGGCATAGTGAAGGCTTCTGTCTGTCACCACTATCTCATTGTTCTTCAAACGTAAGGTGCTTTTAATGACCAGTAACTGGCAGAGACTCACTGGTCACCAAACTCATTTCCTTTTTCTTTATTTCTTTTTTTCTTTTTTAAATAAAACTGAAAGCACATTCTATTAACAAAAACAAATCAGTATCAGTGCAATTTTAAGAACAAGATCAGAAACTTGGCAGCTAACAGATAACTGAATGCCCGCAGAGTACCACATGCAGTACGCCCCGTGCAGAGGTAGTCAGCACCCTTGATGAGACGCTGAAGAAATGGGAAACTGTTTCCCGCCCCCATCCCAAGAGCCACAGACAAGTCCCCTTCCTCCAGATCTCTTCCTGTTCCCGCTCCCTAATAAATGAAAATGACCAGCCCGCTGAGTGTCACTGTGATATTTTAGAATAGCCATATTATAACAACCAGCAGCGGCCTAAACATGACTGTTCTGCACAATAGGCTATTCGAGTGACTGCTGTGCCCTACATCTGGATGGCAAGCAGCTCATATGGCAGCAGAAAGGCAGAGGGCCAGTAAGGATGTCTCCAGGAAAAACACAAGAACAAACAGTGAAAAGCTTTAACCAACTGAGAAATTGAACAGAGGGGAAACTGAGAGTGCTTTTGGAGAATCGGAGCTGTTTCTGCCAGATATTCAAAGAAAACAAAGTGAAAGGGTGGGGGAGAGTAGGGGTGTAGTTGTACAAGAAGGGAAACAGCATCCTAATACACTCAGGCACAGACACAGTGTCCACATACCCATATTTTGTTTAAAATATGGA